AAAACCGTGTTGAGGGACCAAAGTTGCTCAGTGTTTCCGTGCCTTCATCAGATATGGGCCAAAATCTTCTGCACCTGCTTGTTTCCGAAATTGGCTGTGATGTGACTTTTCAAATTGGGGAAGAATCATTCAAAGCTCACAAGTTAATACTTGCAGCCAGATCTCCTGTATTCAGAGCTCAATTTTTTGGACTCGTAGGAAACCCAGATAACGACAAAGTGGAACTTGAAGATGTTGAGCCTTCTATCTTCAAGGTAATACCATCCATTAAATCATTTTTGGCAGATTGGGAGCATACGTGTGCTAAATTACACCGAAATGTTATCGTTCACTTGTATTGGAATGACATTGTGCAGTTTCTGTTTGTGTGGCAAACCTAGGCTGATTAACCGATGGCAACTGTTTTGGCAGTTTCTGTACGTTGCCGTCACACCCATAATACTAGTCTTCTGGATATGCATTTTGCCCATTATGGGTGGCAAACTGTTTGTGCCTGGTTGTGCTCGAACAATAAGTTTATCATGCCTAAAATTCAAATGTGGACATGATGCAACTAAAAAACGTGGCAATAGCACGATAAGCAATTGTTTTTACTTTGTCAAGCTAATGTGTCTGCTAGGCCAATTAAACCTGATAAACTAGGTGTTTCAAATAGTGAATATGTACTTTTTTTTAATATATTACAGCACCTATAACACATTTTATTAAATGTAACTAATATAATCAGTCACATGCGATTTAAACATTAACATGAAAAGTGTTATTACTGATGAACAAAGAATCTCATATACTCAGATGAGAGTATGATTTTTGAAATAGAAATAGAAAAATTGGCCTGCCTTATCATGCTTATCGCTCCAGCACGGTAATGGCCCACTTCTTAATATGCCTTATCTTGCCGGCCTGAAACTGATTAGATACACTCCAAACACTATAACTCCTTTTCCTGCTCTCAAACTACGGTATTGAATCTGGATGCAGAATCTGCTGATTGCATTGTTTTCCATGTTTTAGGTAGCTATAATAAATAGATTATTTAACATATCTCTTCAGTGGTCTTAAGCACTACTTTAATTAAATCAACATCAACTTTGCACTCTTGAACATTTTGGAGGATTTAGTATGTGAAAAATGCTATGCATAACACTCACATGGAGTGGGGTCCACTTGATTTTTTTTTTTATTTTTAGTAGGACCCACTTAATGTGAGTGTTATGTACAACTCTATGGACAGTATTATGTATTATAGCATTTCTCGTAGTATGTTCAGTCAGTTCCATGGAAACCCAGACTAGGTACCCTGATTACTTTTTCTTTTGTTAATTCCATGTAATGAGAAGGTTCTTAGCGCATTAATGTCATTTTCAGTCATTTTTAATTTAGATTGAAACAATTTGTGGCTCTGAATATTTTGCAGGCATTGCTTCAGTTTATTTACTCGGATGAGTTCCCCAACTTTCATGAAATAACTGGCTCAACATCGACGCCTTCTGCAATCATGGTGCAACATCTATTGGCTGCTGCTGATCGGTTTGGATTAGATAGGTTGAAACAATTATGTGAAGCAAAACTATGTGAAGAGGTCTGTGCTGATACAGTGGCAACAACTCTTTCCCTGGCAGAGCAGCATCATTGCGTGCAGCTCAAGGCTATTTGTTTAAAATTTGCGGCAACAAACTTGGGAGGTGCGTGTAGTCCATAGATCTGAGCTGTCCATTATTTCAGGTTATGTCAATATTAATTTTTTGATCTGCTAAGAGCAGTCATTCTCTAATCAAATTAAATGCATTTGCATCGGTAAATGGAATGTGATGGTTTTCCACTTATAATATTTGAAATGTGCCATAGCGGTGCATTAGCATTTCAACACACCATGGACATTTCTATTCATTTGTTCGGTCTATCAGAAAATTCAACCAATTATTGAGGTCTTTACAAGTTCTAAATATAGCCATCTTCTTTTTCGCACAATATGATGCTGTCAAAAAATATGGTGTGGATTTTAGAATGGGCCATTTCAATGAATGTGATTGTAGTCAGTAGTCTGGCTGGAAAATATGGNTTTTTAATTTGGACGATAAGTTTCTCAGATGTCTATTCTCTCCATATACTTGTAGGACATCTTACATGTGAACATCATGTGGGAGATTAATGCTGTGCTTTATCCATGGTATGTTAAGACAAGAAAATAGTGCAGTGGGTTTTTCTGCTGGATCTTTTTGCACAATGTGTTCTAGGCGTTCGTATAAAAAGCTCGAATATATTAGTGTTGGCAAAACTTATGTATGCTTGGATGATATTATTCTCAGTGCCCTTTATGTTTCAAAGAGGAGCAAACAGGACAGTCATTCTATAGCTTCTGGATATTTTAAGTTTACATAAGATTTTGTCCCTGAATAATCTTGTTTTAGCAAAGAGAGTAGTGGCTATGCTCACTCATGGTACTCAATCTTGCTTCTTGAGCTTGAATCTGTTGTTAATCTGCTGCAAAAAGAATAGTTTTGCCGAAATATCAATCTCAGAAGTTAGACAACCTGTGTTCAACATATTCTGATACCAAATATTATATCTGTTATTTGAATTTTTCTTTTGATGATCTTCCAAAACATGCCAGGGGCTTGCTTTCTCCTTGTGTGAAGGAAATTTTCTTCACAAGAGATGTGTTTTTATATATTTAACTTTTATTGCATCTAGAATCAGAGTTATTACATGCAGTTTAAACATAGACTTGTTTCTGCTGTAAATTAGCAAGTGTAAACATATGTGTTAGTTAATCTACTTAATATAATCACCATGAAAGACGTTATACTTGCCTTTTCTACTATGAGATGTAGTCATCTGTAGATATTGGGATGGGCATTAAAGTATTATTTACAGCGAGAGGCATGTATATTGGTGTTCACTAGGAACAATAATTGAATACTGTTAGAAGTTATGTTTGTGTTCTACATCGATTAGTTACTACACTAACATTTATGTTTATTCACAAGCCTATGTTTATTTTGCAGACCCATTTATCAAACACTAACATTATCTTCTTCTAATGTTTGCTTTCATCCTAAACCAATGGTAAAACTGAAAATGCAAGATAGAAGCACCGTGTTTTTGATTTGAAGTACGTCAAATTGGAAATTATGTTAACTTACTTTCCCTAATTTGCTGTTGGCAGTTGTGATGCAGTCGGATGGTTTCAAACACTTGGAGCAGAGCTGCCCATCTCTTTTGTCCGAGCTTTTGGAAACTGTGGCCTCAGTGGACGAGAAGTCGAATATCTTATATGGTAAGAAGAGGAGTGGAAGCAGTATCTTTGGGCTGGATCTCGACGTGGATGGTGGGCCCCACTCTGTGGATGCCAATGGCCGGAGGGTACGAAGGCGGACTTAGTAGCGTTGTGGTTGCCTTGCACAGAACAAATAGACGCGCAAAGTAAAATTTAGTATNCCATTCTAAATTAAACTGGTACGACTTGTGATTTTATTGTGAAGTCTGCCAGTCAATGACAGGATCATGACATTGAGATGAAAAGGCCTGAATTGCTTGAACAATAAGAAGAAAGTAAAAAAATTGATTGAAAGATCTGGATTTCAGGAGATGAAAAGGCCTCAATTGGCAAGTACTTTCAGGGTTCATTTACTTTTGTGAGATAGGATAAGACTAAATAACTTTACGTGTCAGCATTTAGTCCACTGTTTACATTAAGAAATTAAATAGTCTGAAATTTGTCCTATGTTTACTATGATAGTAGACAAATTCATAGGATACAAGTTATATGCGCAATTTATCCTCTCATTACATAAGTCTCGTCCTCACTCTCAAATCGAATTCATCTGCCCCTCGTTCAGACATAAACGGACCGAACCCTAATCAACCCAAAGCATCCCCTTCCAAATTTTCGTTGAACCTTTCTTTTGTTTGCGAAATTTAGAGCATCCAGGACAAGCAGATATTGAACAGTGAGAGAGGTATTATCAAAATAATGAATCCCCTCGAAATTCCACTCCACCTTCGGGATTGAATCTTTCATTTCCTCCGCCACTTTCTCAATGCCTATAATAAAGGAAAATAAAAACCTCAATCGATCAATTTCAAATCCCAAAGCAAGAAATTCAACCAGCAACTACAAAAACAAAAGAAAGTTACAATTGGATAAAGCACCATAACGTGGAACCAATTTAGCAAGCAATTTGAACTCGGTAGCAGATCCAACCTAATCGACAAGGTTTACAAACTAGGGAAGGAAAATCACAAAGCAATTGTTGAAACGTACCATAAGGCCGGACGAAATTGCTCCTCAGTTCCTGCTTCTCCTAAACTGGTATGAACCACGACAAGATGCAAGACTCAAGAACATCATCTGCAAAATGCCCGTTTTTTTTTTTATATGGTACAAACAAGTAATTCCATCATCAAATGGAGACATTTTAGTCTTTTCAAGATAGAAAGTGAGGGCAAAATCGTCAATTCTGTGGGCGGATAATAAAATCCGGGGTGGAGGGCCGGATACATTTATCAGCGAATGACTGATTTAAGGGTGGGACCCGCAGCCACATATTTGCCACATCACACACATCTCATCCTTTTCATTTAAAGTAAACATATGATACTAAGGAATAAATTTAGTTATCTTGTCCTATCCTTTAAAGTAAATGAGCCCTCAGGAGATTATGAATCAACTAGGCTAAAACACACCCACATAATTAAGAAATTATAATACTTATACTTCCACAAGTAGAAAGTTCCAACTCCTAAAAAGAAGAATAAGCTACAAAACAACACAAGTACATTCTAAGTACTAGAATAAAGCCCTCAAGTGCAGGCAAAGCTCTGAAACACCACCACTCGAGCAAACACCCAAATGCGACCACCCACAAAAGGTAGACCCCCGTCCCCAACCCAATCTAGAATCTCGAACCTACGGCTAACTCGATCCAGACCAAATGAGCCAAAACCCTGCCTAGGGTAGTCCCCAAATACTAAATTTTTTCAGGTAGTGCCAGATTAAAAAAAAAAAAGAAATAAAAATCCATTTTAACATAGAGCACGTCTGTTCAATTTTATGTCCTTTTTCTCTTTCTTTTTTGGTACTTGGGAGATGCTCTAAGTAATTATAAAAATTCGCCTAGCTGGCTGCAAGTACCTTGGGCTTGCATAACACAGAATCCGACGACCAGGAATACATTCGATAATCGATAAACAAGGCAAAGCCCCCCCAAAAAACATCTCTCTCGGCAAATCCATTGAACAATCATATATTTACATTCGTGCATATAAAATAGGCCAACTATATCGATAGTACATTACTCTTCAGAAGAAGAAACCAGATCTTCAATAAACACATCATCTTCCTCATAATCTGAATCACCTAAACAAATTCTCCCATCCTCGTTTTTCGAGACTTCTTGATCAACATAACCACTAGCTGCTGTAGAAAGACCTTCCAAGGTCTCACCTGTAAGTGAAGAATTAGTGCTGTCTGTAAGTCTAACTTTTTGGGATCTACTTTTGGTCCTTGGATTATCGAGGATTGATTTGGGATCTCTATCATTTGGATCGCCATATAGAGCAACATGCCGGTAATATAGCTCTAATTCCTTCTCAGCAATCGCAATAAAACGTCTTACGGACTCTAGAGATTGTTCATATTTTGATTTTTCAAGCGCCTGCAGAAGATAAAACATCATAAGGAATGACGTACAAGCAAAGTAGAGAAGAAAGAAAGAAAAAAAAATTACCCTTGAGGTAGAGTTATTACTTCAGGCTTCATGTAATAAATATCATCTCTTAGGGGATGATTAGAATACTAACCTGGGGTATAAACTAACTATTTCGGGGGGGAAAAATAGAAAAAGGAGAAATAGTTATCTTTCAAAATTGCAAGGACCCAATTGACATTTGTTTCTATCGCAAAACTGGAGAGAGTAGTTTATGAAACAAAACAAACCTCCAGAGGATGTTTGTGATTTTTACCAACTGGACTTTTTTAGTTACAAGCGACGAGCTTTTCCAATCATCTTAGGTACAAAAAAGTATCATCGTAATGATTTGAACAATAATAGCAAACAAGTTTCCAAAAGACATGTAGCATAAAGATGATCTGCACGCTGGAGAGAACCAACCAGATCAGCCAAAGACAACCAAGAAAATGAATTAAACAAACGGTTAACACCGTGTCAAATGGAGAACATAATACACACACCTCAGAAGGACTCATTGAAAGCCTAATACATCCTACAGATATGCATATTTTTTTACTCCAATAGTTTTGAAAAGCTTACCCGTTTCTTTGATAAAGTATCCACAGGCGACATGACCTTTGGCTGCACATAGTTCTTTCCTCGATAAAAAATAATCGTGTCATCCCCATATATCTGGATAGGGACCCCACCACTTAGCCGAGCAATTTCATCTGCATACTCTTGTATTTGGCCGGGCTTGCAAGGTTTGCATATGACCTTGACGGTTTCATGTTTCTTCCAGTGCATATGCATATTGAGAATAACCCCTCCAAAGATCCCTCTTCTGCCAATCGGGACGTAATTTGACCTTTTCTGGGCCATCTTCTTCATGTAAAATCGTTCCTCGCCTGTTAAAACATGGGGTTCAACTGCAGGGCCCTCAGCTTTTGGGACTTCATACCTCTTCAGTCGTTCAATTAATAAGGTTTCCTTGATTCTTGCCTGAAAATTGACAGAGCAATAGAGAAATCAACAAAAATGGTCCATTGAGGAGGTAATAAGAATCAATTTGAGTGGGTCATGGGTGAAATTTGAAGAGCGAAAGGAAAACTTCTCTATATCTGAAGGGTAAGTACATGGGAACCACATGATCCGAAAAACAAAAAGGAATGAAATCAGACAAAAAACAAGTCTAATTTGTTCTCTTGCTCAGCATCAGTTTCATAATTCATAACAAGAGCCTTGTTTTCGAGCCTGATTCAGTACTGTGATAATATTGTCACCTCAATACTATTTAGAAATCTGAATGCAATCATCACTTCCAGGTTTCAAAATGTTCATTCTCTGATACAAGTATCGAAACAGTTAAAAAAATCAAAAGGTCATAAGAAAGATGATTTCCAATGCACATCAATTTATTAAAGCAATAGAACAACAGATTAAAGTCTTCACATCACTTGACTTTTATATGTACCACTTCATGTAATACCATCCATAGGAACACAAAAGGTTGCAAACAATAAACGAATAAAATCATTGGAAAAGCATGATAACATAGTGCAAGGACTCAAAGAGCAAAAACAATAACTCAACAAGAACAATCCTTAGATAGAAGAGTTAAAACTCAAATACTAAAATCCAACTACAGAAACGAACCAAAACAAACAGTATTAATCTGTCACATTGTATATAAATCACTAGATGCTTTGAGAAGTAGGTTCTATTAAGATATAGGCACATACATTTTCAAGCTTGTATTTGATCCTCTCCTCTGCAGTTGCAAACCTTTTCCTCTTTTTATTGCCCTTGACTCCGAGCCCTCTGGGGTCTCTCTTATTCGCAGCCTTTCTCTTCTGCTTCTCTCTCTTTCTCTGAACCTTCAGCCTTTTCTTTGTCCTCCACTTTTCCTTTTTCGGGGGATCGATTTCATGAGTCTCAAACTTGGGGCTTCCCTGGGGTGATATTACCAAACTAACTGAACCATGACTGAAGCTTCTCTTTTGCCAGCCAAAACTTTCAAGCCAAGAATTGTGTTGTGTTTGCAGCTGATATGCAGGCCTTAGAAAAGGTGAAAACGGTGGCGGTTTTTGAAGAATTTTCNAAAAAACGCAGTTTAGTTAGATATAGCAAATAAACTAATGCTGCATTGATGCTAATTACTATTTTTTTACACTTAAATGAGACCGAAGAAAGAAGAGTTTAAACACCTGAAAGTGAGAGGATGATTGAAATGGGAAGATAACGATAATCTACAGAGAGTTCGACGAAGCGGATTAGCCATGTGAGCAGAACATTAGCTTTGCCTGCCTGTGAATCTTTAAATTGTTTGAGCAGAACATTAGCTTTACACTAAAATTCCCATTCATATGGAACTTGAATCTTTAAATTGTTTGAGAGATTTTATATCTCGTCAAAATACGAATAAAATGAGCATAGGTTTGGAGAAGGGATTTGCCAGGAATTGGCTATAGAAGTTGACAACATTGACCTAACCTGTGCAACTATTTTTACCAAACCATAGCCGGGCAATCGACAGTTGGATATCTCAAACCTGATCTTCTAGAATGACTTTTCATGTAGAATTTAACTCCACATCCCAATCCATGATCAGATCTCTAGATCTTCAGGTAGTAGCCAATGAAGTTTCAGACCATGGCTACTTGGGAAACCACAGCTGTCGCATTCGACAGTCAATTCCCGGTCAATCACTTTTCTAAAATCATTGAATAACCCCTCATTTTATGCTACAGAAATCCTCAAACAATTTAAAGAATCGATTTCTATATCAACGGGCATTTAAGGTCAACATTCTTATTTTTCTTCAAAATTTTGCAAACCATTTTTTGTGCCAAAATCCAAATAGGGGTTACATTTGGAAAAATAAAACATAGTTAGTAAAACTGATCGTTGGGAAAAATTTCATATGGTAACTGAAAAAGAAAAAAGTAGGTAATTTGGGTGGGAATTAATGTTTTCCCAATTTATTACTTTTACTTGATCGTGACCGCACTTTGTTGTGGGAAAAAAAGCTTTCTTATTTGGGTGGGATGCTATTTTTAATATGAGTATGTATTTAAGGTGTTAGTGCAAAAATAAAAAATAAAATGTTCATGTGCGATGAGTCAATATCGGCATTAAAAGAAGAAAAAACACTAGGGAGTATTAACTATGCTATGCATGTTGAAATCATATAATACACTGGACAATGTGGATTCTTATGGCACTAATCCTCACGGTGCAAGGACAGACTATCATAACTCGCAAGATTCATATAATACAATACATAAAATTTATATTAAAATGCAAAATTTATGTTAAAAGATCATCATGTCACACTTCATACCAACTAGCTCCTCCAAGTCAAATATAAAGTTCATATTTCCTATGACATGGAAGTTCAGTGGCTTTTTGTATAAACAAAAGTTTTGCAGAGTCATTTCATTCACTTGTTGGTTAAACTACAAGCCTCATAGAATGCTTTACTGGATTCCATAACACAAGAATGAAGAGTTTTTTGAACCGCTATCCTAGGTCCCTCAAACATAAAAAAATAAAAATAAAACTATAATCATTACTCAACACCAGTTACGATAAAAGAAAGCAAAATTCAAGCGAGGTGATACAGCGACACGAACAATTTCACACATTTTTCCTCAAAATAAATAGCCAAGACCCAAGTGATTGTTTCAGTTCTGGAGAGTGAAGACAAATAGTTACAACTCTTATTAGGACCCAAAAACCAAACTAGAACATAAGGATGAAAATGCTCGAAATATGAGTACATGTACAGGACTTCTGCACAGAGCAAAGTAGAGTGAACTGCACAATTGCCGTACTTGAGGCACTACTTCACCAAAAAAAGTTTATATTACGGCATTTTAATGGATACAAAAATTCAAGCATAGGGCTACAACTTTGGGATGAGTCCAAATAAGTAGAAAATAGCAAGGCAGTGGCCGCCAAAACTGAACAGCAACAAATCGGTGTGCAATCACCATACTTAGATATTTAGGTGATTCTTTCACCCACAGAAAAGCCCAAACACTTAGTTACTAGTTTTGTGAAGACTCCCAAAAAGAACAACTAAGTTATGTGAGTGCAAATGACATAACTCAGACAAGCAGCACAGAAAAATATTCTGGTCAGAAACAACACAAACAGGAGAGTTTCAACTATATACTTCCTTTTGTTAGGTGTATCGTTCCTTACAAGTCCTGTAAGTCATCCTATATTAATCCCCTGACAACCACACACCGAGGTTTCAGTAATAAGCTCCATCAATACATCCAATTAATCTAATATCCATCACTTTAGCATTTCAAGCAATTCTCCTTCAACAACATAACACCACAACATGGAATTTAAACAACCACATCAATCATATTATCCATCACTTTAGCATTTCAAAACAGGGAATTTAATCAACCACATCAAACGTATTATCCATCACTGTAGCATTTCAAAACAGTTCGGCTTATATAAAGTTATAAACGAAGAACGTGCTTAAAAATACAAATATTGGAACCAACCTTAACAATCCTGATACCAATACAACAAAGTGGGATTCTCGAAGCTCAGCTTGCGGGCACACGGCGGCCAGCGCCGGGGATTGGCGGGCGTATCTAAAATCCAAATGTTAACAAGTCGTAACAGAAAGAAACAAGAGAGGAGAGGAGAATAGAGATAAATCAATGTGATGGCCGGCGGAAATCCGGCGACGGCAGATGCTGACGGTTTTGCGACGTGGAGATGAAGAAAGAAAGACCGGAAAGGGGTGTGTTAAACGTCCCGGTGTGGGGTGCAGCGTTGTTGTGATACCGTCAGCTCATGGCGGGCCGGTGAGGAATTGGTGTGTGGGCTTAATAGTTGGGCTGATAGATTGGACATTTCTTTAGGTGAGGAATTGGTTTGTGGGCTTAATAGTTGGTTTGTGGGTTTAATTTTTTTCATTTCCTTTTTTTTTTTAACAGAAAATATATTCTACTATAAATTTGGTTTTATTTCATATTTACGGATTTTTTTTAATTACAAATATACTAACTTTTACCGTTATGAGTTAGTTGATTTATGATTCATTTATTTCTTCTGGATCCTAAATGATATTATTTTTTGTTTCAACTCTTTTATAAATGTTTTATGTATGATTTCATTTTAATCCTAAATATATGATTGTACACTACAAGCACAATAATTCACATACAGAACTCGATTGGACGTGAAGAGGAGTTTCGAGCCCCAACTACTGGCGTGGAAAGCTCGAGAGGAGATGAAGAGTTGAGTTGGACCCCAGAAGCATGGATAGGCGGGGAGACATGACGAGATGCAACGGTCTTTGGCAACTAGTGTTGAACAGTTGGGGAAAATTAAAAGGATATGACAAACATATTGGAGTTTCAGTGAGTGGCTCTGATAGATTTTGAGGATATGATGGGCTGATTCAAGGTTTGGTGACCAATGCGGGTAGCTCATGTGGGTACACTGAAATGTTTCGGATTCTGACCATGGCATGAGGACCTAATGAGATGATCTTAGCTCTAAAAACTCGCGTGGATATCTCAGATTGAGGCGTAGAGGTGTTTCACTCTCTGACAACTCATGTACATGACGAAGAGATTTGGGCTCGGGCGTCCTGGAAAACACTGTGGGAGAACTTTGAAAACTGACTTGGGCATCTTGGAGAAAACGGTGATTGGTGCAGACAGACAAAGAAAAAACGACGATTGATTTGTGCTCTGGTGACATGCATAGATAGTTCGAGAGAAGGTGGCAAAAGGACTCGTTCCCCTGAGTTATTAAGAAGGTGATTCGTGAGCATGAGTCTCTCAAGACGTGGTGATCAATTGGGTGGCCCACTTTAGAGTTAGGAGGTCTTAATGACCCCTCTATAAGGCAAACAGCCAAACACCATTCCCTTTTAGAGGTACGATAACTGAGTATGATATTCTTAACTGCTAGATATATAAGCTATCCCTACTCTTGTTGGTGATCAAGTTCAATTGATATGATTCATTGAGACTATGAGTCTCTTATCGTCATTCCTTTTTGTGGAGAAATATTCATTGCTTGCATATTCTGAGTGAAATATTATTGAAATTGTGGTGTACATAAATATATTTGGAATGATTACTTGCGTGAATAATAAATTGCAGATAATATGGTGTTATTTATCTTTATCAACAAGTGAGTTGGACTTGTTGAAAGTCTGGCATGATTATGGCTTTCGAATTGGCATATGGATTGGGAGTTAACTAGCTTTGAACAGAAGAAATCTAGACTAATTTTTGTTGATAACTGATCTCGTACAATGCGAGTTGGGCCAGGCGAGTTGACTGGATTAACTAATTAGTTTGAACACTGAAACACTGACTAATTCCCATTGATAACTGCTTGTACAAAGACGAGTTGGTTCAGACAAGTGAAGTGGATTAATTAAATAGTTCATGGAACATTGGCTAATTCTTGTTGATAATTGATCTTATAAAGCGGGAGCTGGACAGACGAGTAGAGTGGATTAATTAATTAATTCAAACAGTTTAAACTGGCTAATTCTCGTCGATAACTGATCTCGTACAGCGCGAGCAAGGTCAGACTAGTGAAATAGATTAGTTAAATTAGTTCGAACAGTTAAAAATGGCAAATTATTGTCGATTACTGACTTAGTACATCACGAGCTGAGTCAGACAAGTAGATTGAGAGTACTTAATTAGCTTGGTACAAACTTAATGTCGTTTTGCTTTCTCCAGCGGGCCACCGGACTCTCGACGGTGGCCACCCCTAGGCTGCATGATTCGGCCCCTTTTGATGTCGATGTCGGTCTTCTCGCGCCGAGCGGATTGGACGATTGGTCCCGTAAGGGTTTCGCTGCTCTTCTTGGTCGCCTTATAGAGCCGGTGGTCGTCGATCTCTCATGTGGCATGGCAGCAACGGGCGTCAGTGTTTCTGTGGGGTTGGGTTGTGGCTCCGACAACCTTGATGTGGTGGTTGGGGCTAAAGAGATTGTTTCCTTTGCCCCTGATACGTGAGCTGAGGGGACGACCGACGTGATGGCTGGCCTGGGATGGTGGTGGTGTGGTAGGGGGTTGTTCGGTTTTCTTTGGCTAAGGGGTGGGGCCGATTACCTAGGCGCGGGGTCGAGCTCGTGGGTGTTGGCTCCAATTAGGTGAGTGTTGTAGGTTCTGGATCTAAGACTAAGAGTGAGATTCGATCCGTATAGGTGGTCAATCTTGGGTGCCGTTGTCGTGGTTTGCTTGGTGGTGCTTTTTCCGACTGCGGGAAAGGGCTTTAGTCTACTATATTTAGGTTGTGTTTGTGTGTTATAAATGTTTTTCCTTTGTTTATTTGTGTTTTGGGTTTTATTATCCTTTAAGATCTGTATTCCACTATTGGGATTGTATTCTCCTATTGGGAGTATGTATTATCATGATTGCGTTGTGATGGTCTAGGTTTCCATAGGGGATGTTATTCTACTATAGATTCGGCTTCTGTTTGAGTTCTAAGCGTAATTATGTGTTCAATTTTTTTTTTTTTATAAAAGTTTATCATTTCGACAAAAAAATAAATAAATAAATAAATCAAACATTCATAATGTAAAATTTTGTAAATTAAAAATTGAGTAAGTTAATTAATTATCTATATATATATAATAAGAATTACTATTTACCATAAATAGTAACTAGAATTTTTAGGACAACATTAATTGTTTACTATTTTTGGATTTTTTTTTCTTTTTTTTAACATTAACCCTTATCATCATTTGACTTAGGCGGCCTAAAAAAGTGGAATTTAATTTGAAAAATTCAAATCAAATCGTATCCTAAAAATTTGTATTTTTGTTAAATCCCTCATAATACAATCCCATATCAATACCATTTTTGAATTTATTTTCTTTAAACATACAACAGAAACAGTATCCACGTACACAATTTATGTCTTCCTAAATTTAAGTAATTTGTTGGTCCCCAAATTAGTGAAGATTTCTTGCATGAAGGATTTATACAATTTTGAAAAAATTGGGAACTTGGTGTAAACCCATTACATACGAAATTGGTTTTGGAATTTGAATTTTCAAATTTCTTCCATATACATACGCAACTATTCACTTCTTAAAATTAATTAATTTGTTGAATCAAATACGATATTCTGATATTGGTTTTGGAATTTGAATTTTCAAATTTCTTCCATATACATACACAACTATTCACTTCCTAAAATTAATTAATTTGTTGAATCAAATACGATATTATGGTCAGCCAAAGTCAGTGGAGATATTTTGCATGAAGACTTTTTACCATTTAAAAATATTAGGACTCTTGGTATAAACATTTTAGATAGCCTTTTTTCACAAAATAAATTTGAGATGGATTAGGAATTTCAAATCAATTCAAATTCATCTTTGATTACAAGTTAAAATTTCCCAAATTTTATTTTAAGAATAAAATTTATGGTTTCAAACTTGAGATAATGAGTTTGTAAATAAATAAATATTTTTTTTATTTTCTAAAATATTTATTAAAAATTATAATGACAATAAATTTTATGATAAAATAATAAATTAAGTATTATACCAGAATATGTAAAACTATTATTTTTTATATTAAAGAATAAATATATATACTAAAATCAAATTTATATTAGTATCAACGTTTTAGTGAGATAATATATTAATTAATTTAATAATTAATTTACATACTAGAGCTAATAAGTTGAGGTTTAACGTTATGACTAAAAAAATAACGAAGATCAAAAGAGATGTAAAATAGATGATCTAACTCTATTTTTTTAAACAGACCATCTGGAAACTCAGACCCGTGCATCGCACGGGCTACGTACTAGTTGTATGTTAATACAAATAAAATAAATAAATGAAAAGATTATTTATATTATTTATATATTTTAGAAAGACACAAAAGAACAAGAAAATAAATGAACGTTACCTTCCCCTGAGCCTTTCAAGTGTTGTTTGTATTCAGGGAGGGAATTTGGGCCAATATCTCCAACACCAGCTGTGTGTGGTAACTAAAAATCGAAACAATTTTAAGTGGAGAAGAAAAGAGATGGGATTTTAACCTCAAGAACCCATTTTATGAACAGCGATCAATCTCCAAACCCCCATGCAACCTGCAGCCTCCACGTGGCACCCGGCCAATCTTGATTGTGTGGTCTCTGGAGGTTCAAACCCCAATCCTTTCATCTCCCCCATTTGTGTTCACTCATCAAGTTTCCATTTTTATGCTATATAATAATACCCCCATTGATATGCCTCAAACAGTTGCACCTCCAAGCTCACTCTCTCACTGCAAATTGCTTTGAATCTCTCACTTTAGTTTCTTCGAATATGGCCGGCGCCGTTTCAACCGTCGGAGCTGTCACTCGTGTGCCGGTAAGAACTCTGTTCTTTATGTAAAAGGGACAATATAGCTAGTGATTAGTTGATTTCTTTTACTGTATAGTATAGTAGTCTTGAATCTTGATGATGGGTCATGGATGGAGATGTTTGTCGTGTACGAAAACTGAAAATTGTAATGAAGTTCTTGGATGATAACTGTTGACTTCTTCTTTCGGACTGCTTGATTATTGTATAATGATGTGTTAATTGCTGGTGATTGATGTCTGCCTTAGAGGGGTGTGTGTGTGTGTGTGTGTGTGTGTGTGTGTGTGTGTTTGGTTTGATCAGATGTTTGTGTAGAAGGGTCTGTTTTCCAGTAGCTAAGACCTGAATGTGTTAAGTCATTTAATTAGGGGAAAAAAAACAAGGAAATGTAGACACAGGAATTGAGTAGATGTTGGATGTATTTTTCTGGAGATGCTTGGGATAAATTGTGTGGTCTGAATTAATCTCAAATGGGGATCTTTCGAGTTTCGACTACTCAAAATTCAATCTCTGTTTGTGTTCGTCTCAAATTCTTTCTTTCTACTCAGTTAAACCGTTTTTCAACCCCCCCGAAAAAATTCTATATCAAAAACTAGAAAAGAACATGTAGAGGTAGATGGATGTATTTCTAGACTGAATCATTTCTGTTTTCTTTTGTTAAGATATCTTCACCTTGTAAACACATCGGGACATGCTATGAAAGCGTTAATTAGTTAAATTCATTCATAATTGTTTGTAAAAAATACAGAAAAAAAGAAATTATAACAAACTTCGACATATATTATTTGACGCGCAGCTGAACAGTGGAGTCTCCGTGGCCCCTCCCTCGTCCTTCTTGGGAAGCAGGCTGAAGCTCAATGCCTCGACTTACATGCCCAAATTCAACTCCGGAAACTTCCGGGTGGCGGCCGAGATTGACGATAAGAAGCAGACAGACTCCGACAGGTGGAAGGGTCTCGTGACTGACATATCAGACGACCAACAAGACATCACCCGAGGCAAAGGAATGACCGATACCCTCTTCCAAGCGCCAACTGGCTCCAACTTGGCCACTCACGATGCTATCCTCAGCTCCTACGAGTACCTCAGCCAAGGACTTCGCCAGTACGTACTACAATCCATCAACTATATATACAAATACAATCGTCTCGTTTTTATTATAAAATTATAATTCTTCCCTCCCGACTTTTTTGCAGATACGAATTCGACAACACGATGGGAGGATTCTACATTGCCCCTGCCTTCATGGACAAGCTCGTCGTCCACATTTCTAAAAACTTCATGACTTTGCCGAACATCAAAGTCCCGCTTATCTTAGGTATATGGGGCGGCAAAGGACAGGGCAAATCGTTCCAGTGTGAGCTCGTTTTCGCCAAGATGGGAATCAAGTGGGTCGTCAAACTTTTTTTTTTCTTTTTTCTTTTTTTTCTTTTTAATCTCTTTTGTTCGATATTTTACATTTTTTTTATCTCTTTTGTAGTCCAATCATGATGAGTGCCGGAGAATTGGAGAGCGGTAATGCAGGGGAGCCCGCGAAGCTGATCAGGCAGAGGTACCGTGAGGCTGCTGACATCATCAAGAAAGGCAAAATGTGTTGTCTGTTTATCAACGATCTCGATGCTGGTGCGGGTCGTATGGGTGGGACCACGCAGTACACGGTCAACAATCAGATGGTCAACGCTACTCTCATGAACATTGCCGATAACCCGACTAACGTACAACTCCCGGGAATGTACAACAAGCAGGAGAATCCGCGTGTGCCGATTATTGTGACGGGTAATGACTTCTCGACTCTGTATGCTCCGTTGATCCGTGACGGGCGTATGGAGAAGTTCTATTGGGCTCCGACTCGTGAGGACCGTATTGGAGTTTGCAAAGGTATCTTTCGCACCGACAGTGTGCCGGAGGAGGCCGTTGTGAAGCTTGTCGACACCTTCCCCGGACAATCCATTGGTAACGAAACATTTTCAACGTATATAATTAGACTCACTTACGAATCGATTTCGTTACTTGTTTTGAAAAACGAAGCAAAAATGTGATAGATAGAGAGGGGAGAAAGATTAACTAAAAAATGTTACCAATTGATTAGCTAGAAATTTTGATATTCCTTAGGGCGTGCTTGTATATAAATATATCCACTCAAAATGAGTTTTTTTGATTAACCAGATTTAATTTGGAAAAAGGTGGTATGGTTAGTTGTTAGGGGGATTTTGAATTTATATTAAAATAAAATAATTAAAGTTGATTTGATGTAAAAGTAGGAGAGAGATAGATGTGAAATGATAGTTAGCTAAAATTATGTAATTGGATGAATAGTGAATTAAATTTAATGTGATGTATAAGAATGATTGATAATATTGAGGATAGTGGGGTTGAATAAAGTTTAGTTAGATTTTGAGTATGAATTAAATATGAATCGAGTTTATTTGTATGCAAACACAGTCTTCATTCCTAATAGAAAACTCAAACCGAAACTTAAAAATCAACTATAGTTTATACATATATGAATGAGGATGTGTATGCATGAACATGGTTTGGACTGCTGCAAGGCCTATATTGTTTTAATTCATATTACAAATACACATTTTTTGTTCAAACAGTTTGAAGGATAGACCCTCCTAATGGTTATGTCAGGCTCACAAAAGCCTTTCTGATATACGAAAAACTTGGTCATTGATTTTTTTTCTTTCCATTCTTAGCTATATATTATTGAATGATCTATTAATTAGTTTATACTTAATTCGCAGATTTCTTTGGTGCTTTGAGAGCAAGAGTGTACGATGACGAGGTTAGGAAGTGGATCACTGGAGTGGGAGTGGAGAAAATCGGGAGCAAGCTCGTAAACTCGAGGGAGGGCCCACCGACATTCGAGCAGCCCAAGATGACTCTTGAGAAGCTTCTCGAATACGGGTTTATGCTCGTCCAAGAGCAGGAGAATGTGAAGAGGGTCCAATTGGCCGACCAGTACTTGAAAGATGCTGCGCTTGGTGATGCTAACAAAGACTCCATCGAGAGAGGAACTTTCTACGGTTAGATCTCTTGCACTCTGAGGTTTGCCCACATAC